ATGTAGGTTTGTTGACACCTAAGAGTTTAATGTTCGGTAAGTACAAAGTTTATTTATTTTATCCTCTTAAATCAGTAATAAGGTTTTACACCATTTTAAAGGATAGGGGTAAACGAACCGACGTATCACCAGGATGGTATGTAATCAACGACACTCATAAACGCTAGGGAAGTTACCTACAAGATGTTACGCACTTATAATTTAATTTACACGTAGTACGCTGCTGGTCTTATGAAGGACGGACCTCTGGATGGATGATTGATAAATACATACATATTTCTGAATCTTATATAAAGTCAGTTTTCAGGCTGTAAAAAGTCGGCTCGTTGGTCTAGTGGTATGATTCTCGCTTTGGGTGCGAGAGGCCCCGGGTTCGAATCCCGGACGAGCCCTGTTTTGTTACTGAAGGTTGTATGTGCCCACAATATTAATTGGACAGTTATAAAAACGTAAAATCCTGTACCACATACTACTTACGTTTAAAATTTTAGTTTTATGTTACCGGAACTGTGTGTAGGTAACTCACATAGATCTTATACTATAATAGACAGAAATTTTGAATATCTGGTTTTCTTGTGCTTTTTTGAGACTAAAAAATGACAGTGAGGCAGTCCTCATGACAGTTCATTCCTTAGTCTAGAAGCAAACGATTCTTTCAAATATTAAACTTTTCTTAAAAAAGTAATTTCAATCAATAGTAAGATATTATGGCAAGACGACTTCTACAAAGATACTTCTAAAAATCGAAAGGGCACAAATAATAAACACCTGTCGTATTCCACACACTTTCGTTTTTAATAAAAAAGGCTAAATAAAAGAATTAACTATAACAAGGTTTGTATCAATAACGTTGACAAAGATCATGTAAGTTTTTTATACGACACATTGTGATCGGACGAACTTTAATAAATCGCTTCCTGTTCCACTTATCGATATTATTTCGAATTTATCTTTTGATTGAGATACAGAAAGTGTCTATATATGTGTGTGTACAGAGACATCTCTAGAGTATAATAGAGGTATATATCAGGGTTCATGATCATCATCAGTTTATGGAGCTCGTTTGTATTTTAACTTCTAAACAATTAAAATTGGCCTTGATATGAGTCTTAAGAGTCTCAACCAGCTTTTTGCAGAAGCTTCGTATGTCCATAAATATTTTGTTGAAAAAAAATCCTTTCTTAACGCTCCCGTTCAAGAATGTGGCTTCAAAAATATTCAACCTTATTTTTGGTCACGATATAGCATGACCATTATGACCAAGCCTTCTATTCAGTCTACAACGAAGGTTAGGTATTTGTCACCAACTTACTAAATCATTTCAATAAACTTCAAAGGCTTGCATTAAACCGTTGAATAAATAACATGAGTCAAACATACTTATGATTAGTCACCGGAAATGTATCGCTAGTAAGGATTCTACGCCTTAAACGGTGAAACGGAACCCTTATGACATCACCCCCACTATTGCTTGCTGCACTTTAATAGGTAGTAGGTGCCTATATTTTTTATTCGTTCTAACATTAAGGAACTGTTTCACAATATCTGGTAAGCCGCTATCTTCCACATAAAATTGAATTAGGAACGTAAGTTGTATGAACTATCTGTCACATAAGTTTATCAGGTACTTTGACAAGTTTGAAGTTATATAATGTCATATATTACAATTAGACCAGTGCATTTAGCAAAACTAAATGTATGGGGATGACACAAATTTACGTCAATTCCATATAATTTGGTTTTGTATTCTAGATGTAGACAAGCGCTAAATGGCATTTGGCTACAGCTGCCTGGAAGACACTTTTGAACGACAAAACAAAATATTGAATTATTAAAAAAATGTCAGTTTGTCGGTCAGTGGTCTAGTGAAGTAATTTGCTCGTTCCAAACTATAGAATTCCTATGAAGAAGAACGAGCAAGAAACTCCATAGGTTACTCTTTTTCAATAAGGTTCACAATACAATTCCTGATTACATTGTTTCGTTGGTTCAACTATGTGAATATTATGGAACACCAATATTCAGAAAAGGAGGAAGAAAAAGAAAATAACCTTGAGGATAACAAATATATAATATAGTCTGGAGTAGACCAGTCCCAGTTGACAACGCCCGTTCACGAACATGGCACGTACACCAGTACCGTACAACTCAACCATACTGTAGGGAATCGAGTGATCCACTGCCCGTGCCACTGCGAATTAGACTTTTGAGTGAGCATGACAACTCCTACTTAGTTGACACAAATGCATTCTACTAGTTAATACAAAAAGGTAAGATACAAAGAGATAAGTTAGATTGGATTGGTAGAGTGATTACGGTAAAGAAGAATATATTTGTCACAACTGCTGCTGGTAACAGTTAGGTAGATGACGATAGACCAGCAGTAGACAGTAGACAGTAGAGAGACTATTTTCACATTTCTCTACTCAGTCCCCAAGCGGTCACCGGTGTCCACTTACTCCATTATAGACCTTATTTCCGATGTTTAGAGACTACTTTTATGAACATATGTTGTGGATTTTTCATAATCGGGGATTAAGAAGTTAAGTAAGTTATCTGTAGACGCCTTACTACTTAGTATTCTAAACTGAGTCAGACCCGACAAGAAGTTGGTCGTTAGATTTCCCCTAGTGCTTAGTTTAGTACACAATCTTCCAATCTGTATGTATCTAAGAATCACCACCTACGTAAGTCGGGATTTAGACTTTAATTTTCCTTATAACTTTAAACAAAACTTAGGGCTTCACAATATCTGATTAAGTTATTGTTAGCTTAAATACAGATATTTTGTACTAAGTTGTCAAGTGAGTTGTCTGTTGGACTAATAGAACCTTATCATACAAGCTCTTAGTCAAATACGGAAATCATCACCAAATTATTATTGTACTGTTAAAAAAGCCGTCACTAAAGGCAGCACTCCTTAAAACTCATTTTAACAGATCGTTATAAGGAAAATTTCGACATGAACACACAAAACAAATGACGTCCTCAAGTTTCCAACCTTTTATAGTTTCTAAGAATGTGTCCTTAGCCCTTGAATGAAGCGAGGTCGTGGACATGCAATCAATAAATACGACGCTTCAACAAACTATTATCAATTACTAGCGTTTGCCCGCGACTTTGCTCATATGGTGGAGACTACTGTGTGTGTACAGAACATTGAATTTCTTAAGATCTTTATCGTTCTAGTTTTAATTTGAAGCGTATTTTCGAAGCTGATAAACGTGCAGGTGTAACAGTAGATCAAAATAAACATTATTATAACACATTTACATTACAAATTGCTTGCTACATACAAACTTACAGATTTACTTGGGTAAACTGTACCTAGGTTCCTATATTTATTTTATTCTTATTACGTCATACTCAAGATATTCTTCGAGCTTCCCTATTAAGTAGTGAATACACGCATTTATCATTTATTTAGTGTAATAAGGTCTTTTATAATAGGTAGAAGTAGTCCCTAAACTACTAAGAATAATCTATTGTCTCTCCGCTAACTTTCATTACTGTTTCTGTCCAACGCAACAAAAACTACTAAAATAAAGACAAAATTAAATTAACACCAAAGTCCAAGTTACCACACATGAGACTACATCACCATAAAAAGAAAGCATTATTTAAACAAAGATAAAATAATTATCCGCTTCAAAAATCCCGTATCCCTTTGTAACGAAACCTGTAATTTATGATAATATATCAATCTGGTATTCCTTAGTCCAATCGTAATAATTAAAACATGACCCACTGTCACAAATATACGGTATCCATGACCGAGGCGGCACAACCCTTTAATTGTGATCAAATCGAAACCTAATGTTATAGTGGCTTCGTTCGTATTATCGATCGACTTTATTAATCGCTATATTTGTCATAGATTAAAACTTTTAATCAACCAAAAATATCATTAAAGTTTATTCAATTTTCTATTAAAATTCATGAGTAGGTCTGGATAGATGTAGAAGGTAAATCGGTAGATGTAATTCATTCTTAGATCATGGCAAGTACTCTCGTGATTTTCATTCATATTTCAACAAAAACACCATCTTGATTATAACTGCAGAACTATCACTTAAATCGTCAACCGTAGAAAAATATGATACTTATAAAATTGGTATTTTTAGGATGGAGAATCAAATTATCATTTAGATATTTCAACCGAATAAAGTGGATGCAGGTGGCGAATTGTCGTTCAACGTGGAGGACTAAGGGAAAGACCTTTGTCCAGCAGTAGACGTCTTCCTGCTGTTGATGATGATGATGATGATTTCAACCGGAACTTATCTTAGAACCATTCAATTTTACTGATATTACTTACGCGCGTACGACTTACAAGCAACATACAAGTCCTCACAGAGTAAACCTCCTTAAATGTACAAACCTCAAACTCAATTACCTTTCTTCACTCAGGACAGAAGCGACGTCGGCGTCCGCAGCCCCAAGGCACGCAGACAATATCGCTCCAGATTGAATTATCGATCCGATAATAGGATCGCAAGAGTAATGCCCCTATATATTGTTCTTGCTACTTTAATTATGGGAGCTATTGAACCACCTTGTTTATTAAGCACTTCTTGAACTGAGCTGATAATTTCTAAATAAAAGCTTATTATTTTGTGGTCATGTTTTGAATATGAGTCACAAGTTTTTGTGATACTTCCAAAGGATACTTATAAATACTTATAAATACTAGGGTGCTAATTATATAAACGTTACTTTTTTTTGTACAATGCGATGGAAAGTCTCCTGGACTTCCCACGCCCTAAGGGGAGGAGGGGGCGTGCCGAACTCTTACTGGCTAAAACCACCGCGATATTCCTCCTCTGCTTATGGCCGTGAACTGGGACGCCCTAACGGATTCACCGCACATAAACGTTACTTTAAATCAATTATACGTAACCTAAATAAAACATCAGCACAGAGCATTCAATATCCGAGAGAGCATCCATATTTCAACAAATTAATTCGTATATTATCCAATCAAAACTAATTAAACAAAGCTGTATCAATTCCATTTAATCAAAAATCCAAACAATATCAGTGACCTACAGTCACTGTTTGAAAGCGTCGGTTAGCAGATAACAATCAATATGGCGCCCGGAGCGTCACCGGCTGTCACCCAAATGAACGAGCACATTAAAATGAAACGCCTCACAGTAATGGACATAAATTAAATAGTCGTCCACGTCACTCAAGATGCAGGATCTGAAGAAATACGCCCTGACGGAAGCCAGGTAGTTAAGATTCGAAACAAAAATATAAGATAACAAGAGTTAAGATGTTACATTTTATTAGGAGCCAACAAAGCGACAGTAATTTACGTCCTTTTTGGGTCGTAAGATAAGGATAACAGTATTCTCATTTAACGATTCAGATCCTCAATACACATCGTGAGAAATCTCTTTAACCGCGCCGAATGCTAAACAAACGCTAAGTCTAACCACTCACAATTTGTCAGACTACAATTCTAGACACAAACAGAACATAAAATTTCTTCACAGCAATCGCTCATCTTAAATTATTGCTGTGGGTCATACCACACGCGAATGTATTGCAATTCATTACAACACTAACGTTAGAAACCGATAGTTACAATACACAGTGGTTACAAGTAAATTACTCGAAGTACTCGTAATCTACGCCCAGGAGGCAAACAATAGAGCAATAAAAGCAACTGCACCCGGCAACTCGAGAAAGCAACAAACCTATCGACAACATATAAATCAGAGACAACCTCGAGCGTTACTACTACTTGAAGCAACGCAGAAATATATTTGTGGACGTTACCGACCAAACACTGGCACATAATTCAGTTTTCTGTAACATAAAATACTCTGTTTCATAGAAATAGATCCCTGTCACACCGAACTATCCGCACTTCGCACTATCTGTCTCATCTATCCATTGATTTATACTTGCTGAAGTTGACAAAGTATTAGCAACTTAATTTTCTGCTTTAGGTTACTGTTTATGGAACAGACTATTGGCATTCCAGTGTTTTTTTTTACAATGGGGGAATTTTAAGCAAGTTATGTCAGTAAGTTATGTCTCTGAATATTTACTGCAACGATTCATCATCATATACCTACATCACTTGTCCAACTATAAACTGCCTCCAGTAGGCTTAACCGAATCGCTTATCCAACATATAAAGTCTTTTACTTTATATAAAGGAAAAAAATATCTCTGCCTCTTATTAAGTAGTAATTCAAGAACGAGAGAACAAAGTGCAGATTCGAAGATCGCATCAACATTTACGGTCGGAGATGTCACAAAGGGCAATAAAATTTCGGTACAAATTATCCGAAAACATATTGTAGAAAATTCTTTCACGAAACATTTCGTAAACAAAGGTAATCTTAAGGGCATCGGATCAAATGGAGGGGAAATCTACATTATTGCATTGCTCCACGACATTAACAATTACAGCAGTTTTCTTAAAACTCTTTGATGCAATCGGTTAGCTTTTTCTTTGTCAATTATGTAAATTAGGTACTACGATGAAGGTTTTTTTTATTGAAATAGATAAAGATATCCCAATTATATCTGCATCCAATTCAACAATTCAAAAACCCATAATTCTCATATTCTTCATATTCTTCAATTAATGAATTATAAACAGTTTATTTCAACGACGAACGTTGAAATAGCCGTTTCCAAACACGCTAAAGTCCGATATTGCTGAACGTTGATTACTCTACAAATTGTATAAAATATTAGATGAATCTACGAGACCGCTCAAGACCTAAAATCACCTAAAACCGGTTATAACTGACTCATTTTAAAATATCCGAGAATACTTGACAGATGTGTCAGCATGAATGAAAAGCATCACATGCACTTGTCAGCAGCACCCAATCTTCAAAGCAGACTGATAAGATCGAAACCATGTTCTGAATACGTGATCTCACCAATTTGACTATAACAAGTCTTGTTCACATGAATATCTTGATCTGTCTCACTCTGAACTGTGACATAATGACCATCTTTAATACATTAGGTTAGACTTGTTCTTGGTGGTAGTTACCAAATACTGATTTTTATAGATGGAAAATTATCAATTGAATTGGCGGGAAGAGCCCGCCCTGCGTGGGGCGAGAGGGAGTTTCAGACTCCGACTAACTAAAAACCACCCCGTTCCTATTCCGGCTCCTGCTAAGGATTTGGTGACTGGATATGACTTGCCTAACTCGCAACCTCCGCAGAATCGACCATTGCCATTTCTATTGATAATTTGCCATACACTACACGTGTAACGTACTAAATATTTGATGTTAAAATGGTCTAAATTATAGGTAAAAAGATTCCAAACAAAAGAACGTTTGAAGTTATGACGTTTACATAAATTTATTTAAAAAAGTTTTCATATTGTTAACTAAGAATGGTAATCAATAATCAGAATGGTTACTTTTACAACTTTCGTGAGACGTACTCAATTATTTATTATGTTTTCGGCTTACTCATGTAACTGTTTGACGGGTTTGTTTAAGTCAGTCGTCGCGTTGGGTGTTGCGGAATGCTACTCATGAATATGAGCCTCTACCATGGCTTGAAACTAGTCGAGTAACTCGTCAAACAGTTACGTAAGTAAGCCGAAATCATAATAATTAATTCAGAATGCTTACTACCTTATTTATCAGTTTTTTATGAAATCGAGACATTTTACGCTTATTTTGTCAATGTACATTTACAGTCTAGAAAGATCTATTTTCCACCTATAAATATATTGACAAAATTGTATATACAAGGAAAGTCTCATTTAAAATCACATTTTCATGAGCAAGTCAAAATGACACAAATTTGACTAGCAATCATGAATTACCTAATTTTGTAAAACGTTGACAACCTTTAATAGTTATATGTACTTTCTATTGTAGACGATTAAGTTCATATCGCATCTATTTATATAGACACAAAACCTAAGTCTATGAATACTCGGGATGAAAGACAGAAAACTCATTATTTTATACATACTAAACTCGTACAACACAACCACTACAGGAAATGGTATTATGACAAATACTTCGGGGCAAAACATTGCTGGCAAAATTTACAACTTAACCCCCCAGTGAAGATCATAAGGACACTCATCTCAGACATACGGACAATCATTACAAAAAACGTATTCAAAACAAATATAAAAGTAAAGATAAATATAAAAGTATATACAGACCTCAAAATGACTATTTTTAATCAATCGCGTCTATAATCACGAGAGGTACTTTCTGAATCTGGTCTTCTCCGCCAGACGGTATCATTATCAGACCTATCCCTACGGTAAAAGTTATCAGTATGTCTTCGTCTATTGTTGTACCGGTCATTGTCATTTCTACTACTTGTATATCTGTTGTTGTATCTGTTATATTTATCCCGTTGTCTTTGGTCTTCATTAATATCATCATCATCCTCTAATGGAGAACGTTTGTATGTAGTCTGTCGGAAGTTCAACGGTTTTATTTTTGTGTCTTTCCCCACATCAGGCGGCGGTGGCTTCTCACCTAGTAAATCAGCTACATAGTTCTCCCGCTCTATTTGATACCCACGAGCTTTTTCGAACTCTGTAACAATGCATTTTGTTTTTATATCGACATTAATTTTTATGATAGCCTCGTTAGAATATGAGTTACAGAGGAGATATATTTCCTAATATTTTCACCTGTCGTAACAACTTTCATCGTAGACTAAGATAGAGTTACAATGACGGGCCGTGCGAACTGGCCAGCAGTGGTGAAGCAATAAATAGTTCATATAGTAATATTTATAGACAATAACTAACTCTTAATAGCGTCCTTGGCAGGGATCCCGAGGCGGTCGCGCATGTATCGGCACACCATGTAACCGGTGCGATTCAACCCGTGCGTGCAGTGGACACCGATCAGGAATTCTGTAACAAATAGAATATTCAATATTGTGTAGAAGTTTTGAAAATAAATTTAAAGGTAAATTAAGAATAATGTAGCAAAGATTAAAATCTGAATAAATCCCACACCCTACACCTTAAATAACAAACAAAACCAAAACAATAAAGTGAAAGGACAAATAGTAATGCAATCACGATCGATAGCCTCTAAACCGAACCGCGGAAAATAAACGAAAACCTCATGTTTGTGTCTTCAAAATCGCACGGCAAACATCGACGGAGGTCGTTGACTCTCGCCCCCATCGCACCCCATCGCTAAGCGAGGGCGGTGCAACCGGGTGGCGACGCGGAGAAAGGAAGTCATGGCCGCGGTTTGACACTTCCTCAGGAAGACCTTTGAAGTAGCAACCAAGATCTACCTTTACATCGCACAGAATTGTACAAAACAGCCTTTTAAAATTATAACGTGTAAAAATGTATGGAGTTAAAGTCATTTCAGACTACATTCAGCCTTTGATACAAAATAGTTTCTGACTGGTCTCAGACGAATAAAAGAAAGACTGCACAAAGGCTTACATAACTTGACATTTTCGTTACCTATACAATCAAAGAATACGTTTCAGACGACGAACAAAATCATAAACCGAGAAAACACACGAACATAATACAGATGTTACGACCTGACTTTGTCCGCTACATATATGCACCTCGTAAGTTCCTTAGCACGAGACAAAAAACGAGCAAAAACCTTACTGTCGATGCAAAATTCCCACGCAGAGCGGCCAAGGAGTAATGCATTTGAGGCATTACACATGCAAATTCATGCCAAGTCGGGACAGACAAAAAAACAATTTCATTTACAACAATCCATCAAGGCGAGCTTTTGCCAGCAACTTAATTAACGTATGTACATGTTTTCAATTACAGAAACAAACAATACAATGATAATTATGAGAACTCACTCAGAGGTACGTTTATGAGATAATGTTTATGAGCTGAAGATATACGACGCAGCTCAGACTAAGTTTAACTTTTTAGCAGCGTTTCGTTTTAGTTTTGACGTGTAGACAAAAGACCCAAAATAGTGACTAATGCTTAGGTGTACATTTCAGTAAGAATTAAGCAATTTATCGAGTAAGTACACGATAAACTAAAACCTGTCGTTAGTAACGTGCAACTCTTGTTTTACATACTGATATTTTTGCTCCTAATAAATAACGTCTCTAATACTTTCTCACCCATTGTCAGTCTGCATAATAGACTAACAGCGGCTTCAAGACCATCATAATAATGTTGCTCACATCAAAAAGAGCTGCCGTTTCAGGTTCTCAAAGTAGCGTTTGGTGACATTTCAAACGTCAACTATTACGTTACGTTGCGTTGCATCGATTCACATGCAAATTGCAGCTGACAATACAATAAGCCCAAAACATGTTACCACTTGCAAGTCACTTAGCATAGAAAGCGTACTGTATTTGTAATGTAATAAACTTGATAGAAAATAAACAACACCGGTATTCCGACGCACAGCCCAAACAAACGGACAAGAGGTATCAAAAGAGGGCGTGACGTAATTATAATAACAATACACTGATGAATTGAACTGTTATTGCGTAATATTGAGACAGGTGAAGAAGTCCATAGATTAGTCCTTAGTTCTCTAAACTAAACTAAACAAAGGTATCGAACATACTACGGTAAAATGTTCTCGTGTGCAAAAAATGTTTTAACTTGCAATATCCTAGTTAGTAATTTAGCCATATTTACTTGATGGCAATACAACGTATTTTATTGCAACATTTCACGTATTGCGACAATTTACTGATTAATGTTACATCACTTATTATGATATGTCTTTACCGAGACGAATAGGTGAGCGCATCGCATTTCATATCGATTGTCGACAATCGATGCATTGTGAACGAAACGAGTCGATATCGATACGCGATAGTTCGCCTACGCGCGACCCCCTTACATCGTAATCGGCTTATTAGGATTTTACCACACGCATCCATGTGACTGCGGTGTATTAACAATGTTACGATGTCGACCTAGGTATCTCCTTATTGTACTTATCCTATTACATTGCACTTAACAATTGCGTAAACGCTCCTGAAGTTAACTATGATTAATTCTCAATATTTTTTTGTACAATTAAGTGCTTGTAGATCGTTTTAAATTCAGGTTTCGATACGTAATCTCTAACACTCACGCAAATTCTTCCAACAGACGATTTGATCACGAATCGTTTTAACCGACTAGTGACTAGAGTTAGCTATAAACCCGCTAATAGATACTTAGAAATCACGATAAGCAAATAAACTTACATTAAAACTATACCATTACAGATATGAGTAGTAAAACAAACTAAAAGCGCCGCGGGACGCAATAAATGTTGCCTTCATTTAAGACGCCACTTGACGCAAACAACATTTTTCGGACGATAAAGGTCTTATTACGTATTAATACATTGATATTTTTATGATAACAATTTACGAAGTTACGGGTTAGGTTTGGAAAAAGCGGAAAGCGATCGTTGACCGCTATTAGCGAGTTATACATAGAAAGAATTGTTTCGATGTCACCTGTTACGTTACGAAGAAGAGGTCTAACCAAATCGCTTGTATTAAAACCTCATCCTAAAAGCTGTATGTAAGAACTTGTTGCGTCTTGCCACATCGTCCGCGGCGCCACGCGTGGGCAGTGATGTGATGATCAGATGACTGATTAGGTATTTAAGAATATTAATTGTCGCAATGGTTCCACATTCTTCGTTCGGAATGTTTATTGAACACTAATGTTAAAAATACCAGAAAATTAGTAACTCGTGGTCAAAAGTCGTCACACATGACAATTTTATATTAATTTGTCAAGAATCCGCTAAGACTACTTTCCAATACTGTTTATAATATATGGAATATGGACACGCATGAAATATACAATAGACTACAACATATTTCATAGAAAACAAAGAACACTAAAATATAAACTAAGCATCCATGTTATCCTTACCTGAAGATTTGTCTCAGGCAGTCAACAAAACAATAATCAAAATAGAAGAAACAAATGCCCTTAAATATAACTCTAATTGTAGCTGGAGGAAGAAGCGGCTCAAACACAAAAGATGAACAATAGCTACTAACCAATACTTCTAAAATATTTCTTAGACAATGAAAACTCATAGGAACTGAATTATTTCTCTTTAAATAAACGACATAGTAGACAATACCGGAGAGTTCAAGAAAACGATAAATAAAGATAGAGTTTGAAAAGAATAATTTTAAAACAACACAATAATTTACGAAATAACAATCGTAATATATTACGAACAACTGTTAAAGTAAGTACGTTATCACTACACAAATAGATAGACAAACAGATTCCTCAGCAACATTTGTCACTGGTACTGTTTCTATTCCAAAAGTGCAACTTTGTCTACAACTATCTTGCAGTAAGTAAACTGCTTGAAACGCAGCGATATATCCACCAGCCATATCAACAAACTTCGAAACTAAGTTGGACAAACTCATTTTTACGTGACGCCATCTCAATGATATAAAAAGGAAGCGTATTTTATAAGAGAGTTTTATTACTCTAGACATGAGAACAATGTTGTTAGTATTGTCAACGTAAATCCAAATGAAATCATCAAGTCAATCAATTCCATACATAGAAACACTAGTAGCAATTTTATTTGCTCAAGTATACGTAACGTCTAGTAATTTTCCTACAACTTACACAAAAAGTAAGCAAAATCTCCATCGTTTATCAATGTTACATCGAAAGTAGCAAGTCACCTATGTAACAGTAAAATAAATCCATCCATCAAGTATGCGACATGCGACAGTGGGACATCTGCAAGACACGTCAAATAACTTCTTGTAAAACATTTATAATAGCGATAACTTCCATAATTGATTTCAGTACTATCCATCTGTTAGAAACAACGATAAAAATGCTCGATGATAAAATTGATTTTTAATTCGAAGCGAGCACGATAAATTATGTATAACGATGTAAATGTGACGTAGGAAATGATAACAGCTTTTTTAATGTACCAAGATCAAACACGAAAAAGGGAACTATAAGATGAAGTAAACACAAAATTGCTCATGCATGTAGGACTAACCAACAATAAAAAAAATATACGAATTCAAACGTATATTATTAAATAAATGTAAAATTGAAACATTTCTTAATTTGATTACACTTTAAACACGACCGCGGCTACCACAGGGTGCACAAACAGTAGCAAGTGTAACAACATTCCCGTGCATGCGATATCGTGTAAATCAGGACGCGAGCGCGATTCCACCTCAGATAACAGGTGAAATACGAATATCGTCGCATTACCACGCGCCGCAACGAACGAACATTACGAATGTCTCATTCATTCAAATAAGTTGTTTTATTTCACATGTACAATAAATTCAATTTAATTGTTGGTCGCAATTGAGGAAACGGATCAAACCACATAGATCGACTTACATTCTTCAAGAATCTGGCGCCAGCCTTAGCAAACCAGTATAATATACATCTCACTCAATCTACTTAGCGACACCGATAACCGGCCATTACCAATGAAAACGCCGACAGATAGTCGCATGCTCACAATTAATTGAAACTGCCCACGTAATCTAATAAAAGCTAGTTTTTGTGATCAAGACAAACAAGGGCGCCCATTCGTAATTAGAACTTAATGAACATTCGAAATATTGAGTTCGGCACCGTGAGAAGTCCGACGATAACTACGATTTGTGTCACTGTAATTAAAAGCGTGGCTGCCGATAAACTGGACATGTCGACTGAACCTACTAGTTTTGACTGCGTCGATCAACCAAATTTTGAGGAGCTCTCCATTGCTCTCATCCCGTACAAGACAGGTGAAACGGAAAAGGAATATGAGTTCTTTGAAGAGTGAACACGAATCACATTTCTCGTTAAAATCGAAGCGGCCTTTAATTGAAATCGTATGTTGTGTCGAACGTCACTGATAAAGCCGTATACTTTACGCCGTTCTGTTGACGCAATGACATAACCGACTGGTGATGCAAATTGAGACGCAATGAAATTTAAATTACGTTATATTCATTTCAATAAAAACATATATCATTCTTGTTGTGTTGATTCATATGCTTCGTTTGCATTCATTTTAATTGAGAGTGAAAGCTCTAAAGATCTGTACTGCAACATTTTGACGTAGTATTAAGTAGTAGTTTATTAGCTTATAGCTTTATTCTTTGCAGCATTAAGATTATTGACCAAAGGTTATTTATACTAACTGCAACAATAGACAATTTCTGTTGCGATAATCTAAAGATTTACTTTGTAAAGACCCACCTAGTAGTGTTATTTAGCTAACCTGTTTCGGACCCAGCTAATATATCTAATCAACGTTATGCCAAAAACGAATGTGTCATAAGCTTCTATTTTTAAATAATACGTGCGTATTTTTAATAGAAACGATTAGCGACTATAAAAAGTGAGTACAACTGTCTACCTTAAATGGTCGTCTCGTAAAGCAATACAATTAAGCAATGGGCGTGCATTAACACCTCACCACAAAGTTTTCACCCACGCGAAATAAGAGTACTTGTGCCATCATGACTTTAACCTACATGAGCGTTTACAGTGCGCCGAGCTAACAACACACCCAATTTTGAACGTTTGTTTAGATTGAATGTATGAACGGATCTTACCTGTGGTCGACAAACCGAGACTGGCTCTCTTTACTTGCACAGCCACTAAAGAGAAAACCGCAACACCAATGTAAGTCCACACACACTAGCCGTCATTAAGCACGGCCCAAAAATAATCAAGTGCGCTAACATTTAGTGCAAACAAAATTTTGACTCACCACAATCTTTTCCCAGGAACTCGTCAACGGTATCCATAAATCTGGAAAAAAAACAAAGCACATTTAATAACAACTCCAAACACTCGCATAGGTGGTGTTTTGAGTAATACGTGTTTTGATACTATTCTCGGTGAAGATGTTTTGGCAAATAGTGCTTGAAATATACATTGAGTACCATTATGGTATAGAGGGCAAACTAGAAGACGGTCGGACTGTCGCTTATTATAAGGCTGTACTGAGAAATGAAGTCATAATACATCACTTAATCAAGTTATGGAGAACAACGTAAGTTTTCCACATTCCAGTTGTTTAGTAGTTCCTAATACAATAAACTATAAAAGTTAAAAACGATGTAAAGTGATACGTAGCAACAGTTATTCCGCCGTAAAACATTTAATTGAATATCACAAAAATATGTATAGAATCTACGGCACCCGTCAAGAACCAGATGAAATATTATCTTGTATCGATCGCAGCGTGTCGCCATGCTTTAATCGATTTTTTTACACCTAAAACCGCACGATCAGTGGGCGTTCAGAATTACAAGGCGTTTTGCCGACCAAACTGCCAGGTCGACCTATTTGGTGAAATATGTTTGTTTTCATCATAACAAATGTCTTTTAATATTTGCTACGAGGGGACGCCGCCAAACCCCAACTTGGCATTATTGGAATGTTTTCTTAAATAACTTGCAAGGGTGGTCCAATGTTGATATTTCGGCTCAGAATTTTCTTTTTACAGAAATATAAATGTGTCGCATAAAGTATAGATAAGTTTTGACATAAAAGAAATTCTGAGTGTTGCCGAGGGTCGTGATTAAGTCTTGTCATGCAAAATTGCAAGCGTTTACTAAGCACCATCATTTTCTAATTATTGTAGAGACTCCCCTCGAGCGACACGGGAGCCGACAGCGGCGCCGCGACTAGTTGCATTCAAACCAAATTTACAATTCAGTTTATCATCATCGTCAATATTACCATCTAAAACGGTGCAAACGAGCTCTTCATTTAGCACATAGATGAGTTATTGGACTGGCAATGGCGGCGAATGGTGGCTTCGTAAATATTTTATGACTACAAATAGGGTCTGCGAACGAGTACCTATGTATTATTTGTCATAATCGTAAAAAGTAACAACTATTGGAAAAACAAACTGAAAATTCTAGTTGGCGAAACATAAAACACAGGAAACGAATTACCAATGAAACAGTAATTAAAAACGATGTCAGTTAAACTCAAACAGAGATATGTTAACAAGGCAATTCAATGGAATTTAATCTGTACTCCAATAACATTTACAAATGAAACTAGCCGCGACGTGTGGCGCCAAAAAGCAAACAGTATAATTGTGTATTAAGTCACGATTCAACAAATTCGAAGAATATCTCCATCAAGGTCCTAACCAACGTGAATTTTTGCTTTTGTCGTTTTTTCTCAAGTATCTCGCAAGATCAACACTACTTTTGCCTAGAAATTAGTTTATGAAGCTACCAATTCTAGATCCGGATTCATTGTCAACATATTTTTTCTATAATCACAATCTTACGTGTTTTAGGCACAAGTGTGATGACCCGATAACCTTAGATACATAAATATGAAGCTGTGACAGATCAATTAAAATAATTTAAGTATAATTCGAATAAGGATCAATATTAATATTATCTAACTTTCTAAGGTAATTCGTTTTATTACACATATCGATTTGTCACGATATAGTGTAAGTAAACGAAAACACGTAATACTTGGTAACAAAGTAATACATTTAATAATTGAACCATTATGTACTGAATAAGGCTTCACACTTGAAAAACACTGAGTCTACCGTCGTAAAAAATTTTAAAACAATATTACAAAACAATATAAAAGTGACGATACGATTGGTGCGGTGGCTGGACAACCGGCTGCCGCGCAACGTGTCGCTGGTTCGATTCCCGCACGGAGCAACTCTTTGTATGATCCACAGATTGTTGGTCCGGGCCTGGATGTCATGTGTATGTTTGTAAACGCACCCACGACACAGGAGAAAATACAAGTGTGGGGCAATGTTTAAAAAAATAAATAAATTGATGGTTCGGTATAATACCCACTGTATTATGCACACGTCAAGTATATGATAATCTTGTGAATTATACACAAAGTGAGTAAATTAATAAGAATATGATATAAATATGAACCGATTGAAACAGGTTAATTTTATATGAATATTTGTCAATTTTCGTCTCATATATCCTTATTAATCCTAAAATGGCGTGTCGTTTTTTATTTATTTATGCTTACAAGTAACAGAACAAACTTATGTTAACGACAAAACACGATATGTTCTACAAATGGCTACAATTAATCACTGGCAAGGTCGACATGACCACTGAACGACTTCAAAGCAGTACATTGTAACATATAAACTTTCTAAGCATTTCCTGGGCAACGCGGACGTCATTATTTAAAATCTGTCAAAATTGTGTATTTTATTACTCGGGCGGCAGATCGGAGCAACGTGAATTACATGTTTTCTTATTTAATATTAGTAGGGTCTTGCGTTTGTGAGATAATTTATATCTAGCGGCGTTATCTGTACGGTAAGATCGCTCCCGAGTTATAATCCGGGTATTTTTCATGGCACACCGACTGCGGTGCCACTGCCGTGCCCCTGCCCGGCGTTATTGGAAAATTTATGTAACTACCAGGAGGCATCGCTGCAATTATTATTCCTTGCCCCGACTAACTAACAATATTTGTGATGATCACCAAGAATTACTCAAGTATTTCACTGTTTCGCTGTATTAGACAAGACAGTCATGGTACGTGATGATTCACACAATCAAATCCAATTAAAATGCATCAAAGTAGAATAAACTGCCATAAGTATGCAAATCTCTCGGATTACACTGATTAATCTCCTGACGTTATCTGAACATTACCTGCCAACAGAACCTAAATATTTTAAACTCGAACATTAATCGATAAGCCGTGGTTTTAATGAAAAAGATCATAAGCTTTAAAATTTTGTAGACCATAAAATGTCAAATTTACAAGACCATTACATGAGTTTGACGACACGCGGCCATAAAACATACATATAAACTGTGTAATAATTTTATTGCAAATTAATTACGACATTTATTATAATTTCAACATTTCCAAACTTGTTACTGGTTTATTGTCATTGTCAATAAAGTCGGTCTCAATTCGGCATTAAAAAACCTTCCGGAATTATTTTATAGGCACTAATAAAATGCGTCCATCATACAATGATTTAATAAATTCCATCAAGTAATCCAGTTACTGCGTAGAATAGAAAATGACAAACATGCTTTCACAAGAGACCGGACCTCACATAGGCGACGCGAACGCATCCATCATGGTAGACGCGTACATGTCGTTATGTGTCGGTACCCAACAAGCGCCGAAAGTGCCCCAAACAAAGATAATAGGCGACATTTTGATACAACGCGAGATAAGGAACTAGGAGGTTCCCATGCGATCCAGGGCGTCCTCACAACACAACTACGAACAATGTTGGAAAACCACAGGCTAAAGGTCAGACGTGGATTAAATACAAGCAGAAATATGTATCCGGTGACAAATAAAGCAGTACACCTTTAACTTAAATATCTCACTCGCACAAATAAAAGAGTAATTAAGAGATTTATCGGTTAATTCATTATAATATACAGTGCAGACAGTGAGGTCGTACCGATCATTAATATTACAAAGTTATTAAACATGAAGACACGAAGGACTACAAGACTATCAAAACTATTTTAATGATTTAAACATAAATTTAACGAAGCTTTAGTGTTGTGTGGTTGTAATATAAATTTATGCTGCGTAGTATCGTAGGCATGTCATCAAGTTCGTGTTTACGGCGTGCAAACTGCACGACTGTCGGTGGCAGACTGCCGTCGCGAAGTAATTACCCAGTGATACATCGCCTTGATCCGAGATGCGCACGCGATCGTGTTCAACTAATGCTATGTTACCCAACAAGCTGTCTGTCCTTAAGGTAATGATGCATATTATATAACTTTAGCTACAATAGTTTTTATCCAAAATATCCTATATTCAATCACCGAATATAAATCGCTTTCAGTAACAGTTATCATGATAGGTACCAAGTATTATTCACATCGATCCACTGAGCTAAATTGAAAAGGTTCATGCGTACCTACTTCCATTAATCTAACAGAATAAATAATTTAGGTCCCAACTTGATATTGTTCTTGTGACCATTAATTCAACAGTAGATACGAACATGAAGCTAAATGAGTAAAGTTTAGTCGAAATACGTTTCCAAAGTTTTATTCATTGAAATAGTTCTGTTCACATATTCACAGATTAAAATCGTCGTGTGGCGCATTAGTAAAAGTTCCTATGAAAATTATTTAACGGCTATGAATATCAATGTACTTTAAAAGACTATAAAATCTGGAAAGTTAAAAGGAAAGTTTATAAAGAAATTGGGTTCATAATTTAGAGACGGTTTATATTGACAGTTTAATGTGATCTGTTTGATAGTAATAAGTACAAATCAATGTCACTAAGTTTAATAACGAAAACTATAAAACGTCAAAAGGAATTACAACCGTATTAGAATACATAAACAAAACTAATAATGATTGCAGACCTAACTAAATACTCATTTACATAAAACAGAACATAATTTAACAAAAATATTAGCGTTAAAACATAAAACTAATACAAATAATGTTAAAGGTTACCTTTATAAAGGTAAATTAGTTTCAAGTGTTGCCAAGAGATAATTTAATACCATATTTCGCACCAAAAACCAATTGATTCTTTGATACATATAATATTAATGATAATTTTATGGATTTCTCAAAATAACAGTAATATCGACACCGTTTTAAGTGCGGACAGAACTCTAAAGACATATTTTTATTAGGAAATTGCAGAAGCTGATTGTTTCTGTCGATGTTTTTGATTATATTGATACTTTCAGTAATATCGTTTCTTATTTGTGGTATAAAGGACAGGCGATAATGGAAACATTTAGTGACAAAAGAAAATTAAACGATTTTAGG